AAATATGAGAATGGGTTTCATTTTCATTTATTTTTTCAGCAGGATTATTCCTCTGCTCAAAATCCTTCAGTGACTTTCCATTGGTCTTGGATAGAAATCCCAAATACAGTGAGTTCCAGGGCACTGAGACTGTCTTTCATTCCGGGCTCTTTTATTCACTCTGGTTCAACCATTCCGACTTTCTATAGTTCCTCCAATACTCCACACATTTCCTTCCTCAGTCTTTCATCTTCCTCCTTCTGATTCAAATATTCATGCTGTTTCTACTCCATTAAATGTCCTTTCTAAAGAAGATTGTTCTTCTTTGTTATGGTTCTAGACCCTCCCAGCCTCAGGTGAGGGTCGTCCAGTGATTTTCCAGTGATGGATGCATTAGGAGCTCTTTCATAGACAAAGAGGAAAATACACTCATCAGTCACCTGGTAACAAGCTCACTATCTTGAGATCCCTGAAGCAGCACCATGGACCAAACTTCATGGACCAAGGTCCTAGAGAATATTATCCACCTAGGGATCAGATAGAATTCAATCTCACACAACCATTAATTAGCCCAGAGGTAATCCCATCTGCCTGAAGACCTAACAGGAGAAGGCTTTAACTTGCCAAAACTGATCAGTGAAAACTGAAATAAAGGTTTACTCCTTCAATTGCATAGACATCAACATAAGGCTACATACATGAGTAGCAAACAATCAGGCAAACCTAACACCACCAAAGGAAATTGATCAAGCTCAGATAACTGAACCCAATTTAGGTCTTCCTAAATCAGGTCCTCTTATACTGTTCTTTCCATAGAATCCCTTGAAGCCATTATTACAGATTATAAATACATACTTAATGTTGTTTCTTTAATGTTTTCCTCTGTCACTCCTAAAATATAAAATTTAGTAAGCTCAGAGACTGTGTGTGTCTTGCTTACCCCTAAAGACTCCTGAATCCTCTATTCCATACACATTGCTAGGGATAATTTATAAATGAATGAATGGGATTAACCTACCAGTAAAGTTGTCTTTTCAAGCAGACATTGACCAAGGTTAGTCTGTCCATAGAACTCAGCAACAAGCTGTAACCGATATGGGCTTGAATCTATATTCTTGGCTTTGGCTCTAGATTGAATGTTTCTGTTTACTTCTGAGTCATTTCTCTGATAATGCTAAAAAAAAAAAAGGCAAAAAACTTAGTACTGTCAGAAAGTTGCTATATAGTGCTTAGAGCATGAAATAAAAGGGAGGGAAGATCATTACTTATATGGGTTAAACTAAAATAAAAGTGCCATTTTTTAAAATCCTGGTGAAGAAGTTATTTCTACAACTCTTAGACTAAGTTCTTTGTCAGCCAAGACAAAAATATGTATAGATAGGGGTAAATAAATAAATACAAGATTATAGCTTCAACAGCATTTTTAGAGAAAAAAAAAGTATTGGTGGCTTAGGGATCATTAACTGCTAATGCCAAAGTCTATATACTTTGTACTTTTTCTGTGACTATTAAATACTAACTGTCAATTATAACACCAAGCATTTAATTTAAAAACTCTCTTCATTGATTTTATGAGCAGGCTAATACACAAGATCAGAAATGAGTGGATTGAAAGGGAGCAGAAAGACAGAGAGAAATGCTCAGTTCAAAATCTATTCTAATTGCATTCTCTTCCAAAATTTAGCAGTTTTTTTTTCATTGCAAAGATAATTCCTGCTCAATATAAAAATTTTAGGAACATTGAAAAAATAAAAACAGATCACTCAAATACCAACAATTTCAAGAAAATCTTAGGTAACATATGGTGTATTTCCTTTCAGTCTTTTTGCTGGGTACTTTTTAAAAACAGTTGTGATAAATTTGGTATCATAAGATTGTAGTTTTCAAAGTTTATCTTTTATGACTTATAAAGGAAGTATCATGCAATTATAAAATATTTTGAGAAAAATAGATAAAATCAAGAAAAAAGTGAATATAACCCCATATGTCACTACCCACACATAACTACTACTAATATTTTGGCATATGTTCTTACAGTTTTTTTCAAGGATATTTTCTTATGTTGTTTATTATATGTTGATTTTCTAGCAGACCTAATACAGAGATATTCACAGATCCTTTACTACTGCAGTTCAATTTCTGAGAGCTAAAAATTTGTTGCCTATTTAAGTTTATCTTAGCCTGCCAACATGGCTCAATACAATGAAGTTCTCTGTAGCACCAAGCATTTAAAAAGTTGTTTTCCAATTTCATGAGTGGGCTAATATGCAAGATCTGATTGTCAAGTCAGACTCACAGTGTTCTTACACAGTAACGAGCATCATTAATGATTTCAGGATGCAGGCAGTCAAGAAGCTAAGACAAAGCACATGGTCTGGGACATCAGATGCAGCTTCATGGTCCTCCTCCCTCCACACTTCGTACATGTATTCTCCATTCCAAAATGACGGATGAGGTTTCCTATACATATTCAGCTTTGACTCATGAAGAAGGAGTGCTTAGGTTATGAAACATCTCCAGGTCTCATTCAAGAGGTGAATAACTCATAGCATTCTTCAGAGAACCCTTGTCAAAGATCTATAGATTCTGGGGGTTATTTACTAAGTAGTTCTTAGCAAGGACATCCTGATAAGGCATTCTACAGATAAGAACCCCCCCCCCCTTTGAGCAACTGTTAATAGCTTATTTACCTGGAGTTCCAGTTAACAAAAAAGAGTAGACAGGGCTAACTTTTCTATTTTTTCTCTGGGGTCATTTCTCCCAACACACTCAGGGAAAATGGATCAGACACAGCTGTTTAAACTTTTTCATTCTCAATGAACAATAAAGAATAAAGAGAAACAGTTCCTACCATAGGACAAACCATGATCCTCCCTGTTGCCTCTTGCACATGTATATTAGAGTGGATGCATTTTCCGTGGTTCTGTTCCTCACTAACATCTTTCTCAACGTCATTTCTGAAAAATCTTTATCCGTTTTCTCTTCAATTGTTGCCTCTACTTTTTTCTCTCCTTCCTATGCAATAAAAATCCAATAAAAATATATTAGAAATTTCTAGAAGATAATACAGGAGAAAATCTAGATGACCTTGGATAAGGCAATGACTTTTTCAGTACAACACCAAAGGCATGACCCATGAGACAAAGAATCAGTAAATTCAACCTCATCAAAATTTATAACTTCTGTTCTGCCTAATTCATGTTAAGGTTCACTCTTTATAGTCTTAATTTGTGTAGGTTTGGCATGTATCATGTATCATGTACATGTACCCACCATTACAGTATGATAGACAAAGTTTCACTTCTCTAAAAACTCCCTGGGCTCCATCTTTTCATTCCTCCTCTCTTTCCTTCTAACTGCAAGCTCCTGGCAATCACAGATCTTTTTACTCTCTCTGATTTTGCCTTTTCCAGAATATATGGTTGGAATCATACACCAGAGACTCTCAGATTTGCTTCCTTCACTTAACAATATGCATTTATATTTCCTCTATGTCTTTTCACAGCTTGATAGCTCATTTCTTTTTATTGCTGAATAATATTCCATTGTATGACTGTATGAGTTTGTTTATCTATTCAATAAATGAAAGACATTTTGGTTGCTTCCAATTTTTGGAAATTATAAATAATGCTTCTGTAAACATTATGTGAAGTTTTGTTTTGTTTTTGTAGACATGAGCTTTAAACTGATTTGGGCAAATACCTAGGCGTGCAATTGCTGGGTATATGGTAAGACTATGTTTAGCTTTGTAAGAAATTGTCTTCCAAAGTAGTAGAATCATTTTTCTTTCCCACGAGCAATAAATGGAGCTCCTGTTGCTTCACATCTTCATCAGCAATCTGTATCATTACATGAATCTTGGACATTTTAATGAGTGTAGTGATATGTTATTGTTTTAATTTGCAGTCCCCTGATGACATATGATGTGTATATTTTCTTATGTTTATTTGCCATCTGTATATCTTCTTTGGTGGGATGTTAGATTTTTAGACTACATCTTATTTGGGATTTTCATTTTCTTATTGGTGAGTTTTAAGAGTCTGTATATTGAGTTGTTAATAGTTACTGTAATTTTTATTTCTAAAAGTTATTTTTAATTGTTTAAAAAAATCCAGTCTACAATATTTTATAGAATCCTATTCCCTAAAGATATTTTGAAGCTTTTTTCTTTATTTATTAACCTTATAGATCATAGCTGTTTAAAAATATTTGCTGATAATTCTCATCCCTACTGTCTTATGCCTTTTTTTTTTGCCCTTCTCCCCACTTTCTGTCACTCATAATATCTGTGTTTCAAATTGTCCTTGAAATGTTGTTTGTGGAGATTCTTTGAGACCTGAAATGAAGGTAAATTCCTGTAGAAAGCATTTACATTTGCCTGTCAGGGTTGTGCAAACCTGTAATCCCAGCTACTTCAAAGACTGAGGCAGAAACACTGTAAGTTTGAAGTCAGCCTGGACCACTCAGTGAACCCTGCCTCAAAATAAAACTTAGGAAAGAGCTGGGGACATAGCTCTATAGTGGGCACTTGCCTAGCATGTGTGATGTCTTAAGTTCAATCCCTAGTACCATAAAAAAATAAAATAAAGCATTTACATTTATAGTTCTGTCTAATAAAACTGAGCCTACAAACATTGCTAAAGACCAATTTAAACTAAAATTAACTAAATTTATGGCTTAATTTTTTAAAAAGTACTTAGGTGATAAAGATGGCAACAGATGATCTCATAAAGATGAGATTGTAAGTATAGCTCCTAAGGGAAGCTAAAGGCTAGCATCTCTCACCTATTAGTTTCAAGATATGCAAAGTAGAGGTCAAAAGCAGTTACATATTGGAAAAGTCATGCTCCAACTTTAAACCTTGTTCTTTGCATAAAATTAGTACATGTCTAATAAAAATGTACTCATTTAAGTGAATAGACATTTGGACAAAAACAAGTATTAAAGTTCAACAATGAAAGAAGGTAAGACTAGCTTAATACTTTCAAATTACAAAACATTAAAATTTTATCCATCTACACTGGGAATATAGCTCAGTGGTAGAGCACTTGCCTAGCATGCAAGAGACCCTGGGTTCAATTCCCAATACTACAAAAACAAGCATACAAACAAAATTGTGTCCAACAAAATGTATAAAAAATGTATGTTCATACACACACACACAAAATGTATGTGCATACACATACACACACATATGTGTTTGTGTGTGTGTGTGTGTGTGTATATATATATATATGAAATTTCCAAGGACATGATAAATCACTATGACTAGAATGCAGAGAAGAATAAGTACAATGAAAATGAGAGTTAACAAATGTCTGCAGCTCAAATTCATCTCACAAGGCTGGATGGAAACTGATAACCTACATAAATACCCAAATGTACTTTGAACTAATTGAATTCAAGGAACTGTTTAAGAACAAAGTGTTATTATTGCAACAATACTATTGAAACATCATGTAGTAATTGGAAAATAGAGAAAGGAACTGCAATTTAACTTAAAAATTAAAGAAAAATCATTTAAGAACTCTCTCGGTGTTTCACTTCTGGTTGCTGAAATCTGCTTTTAGAAGCAAATTAACCAGATTGTCCATTAACATTGATCACATTAGCTAGATAATTGCCAAGACTTCATCCTACTTGGGCTGTGCAAAAGCAATGTAATGTGAAACTAAGGACAATGTCCCTTAATACATAACACACCTTTAACATCAACTTCTCTTACAATTTTGGGGAAAAGACCTGAGCCTTGAATTTGACTGTGCCCCATCATTGGGTAGAATCATTTTATATTACATAATCTTGGAATTGAACCCATAGCGAAGACTTCTCTGATGTCATAACAAGAGGGTAGTGGTTGTGCTTTGTAACAGTATGTGACTTCTCGTGGAACACAGGACAGAGTTCATCGATAAACAGAAATAGGGCTTTGCCAAGATTGCTTTGGTAGTACCTGTAATAAAAGACTCTCAACTGGAAAGCAAATCCACCTCCCTTTGCTGCACTAGCTGCTTCGTTGACTGAGTTGTCCTATGGCTGAGGTTCTTTATCAACAGGGAAGCAAAGAACGAACTTTGAGCTCAATGCAAATCTTTTGCAATCTTCCCATAAAAATAAAATAAGTACATTTTGTACCACCAGTATAACAGGAATAATTAAACTGTAACTGAAAAAGATGTATGCAACTGTGACCTGTTAGTCAAGTAACTGGTAAGTATCTGACTAAAGTATGTCAGGAAACTTGTCTTTTGACAGAAAAACTTTTAACAAAAGTGGTGATGTTTTTATTTTTGTGTGACATTGTGGTTACTTTCTCTTGATTTGCTCAGGATTGTGTCTGTTCATTGCAGCATGCATGGAGAAGCTCTAGAATCTTCTCTATCTCAAAACAGAAGAGATATGTACAGTTAATGGATAGCCAGGATGTTTGTGATGTTGCATATGCATTTAGAGCATATTTACTGAGGCAAAACAAAAACACCAAATCAAAGACCTGAGTGTGATTCATAATTACTATACCAAGGTATATATTCAAAGATTTTCAGCATATTAAAAATTTTTATTGATACCTGATGATTATACACAATAGTGGGATTCATTGTGATATCTTGTTATAAACACAAAACATACTTTAGTCAATTTTACTCCTTAGTACTTCTCCTTTCCTTCCCCTCCTCCCTCCTCTTTCCTCGACTGGTCTCCTTTCTATTTTCATGGGATCTCCCCTAGCCCTTTGTTCCTTTTTTCCCTCCCTATTCTACATCTGAGAGAAAACTTACAAATCTTAACTTCCTCAGTCTGGCTTTTATGCTTAACATAATGTTCTCAAGTTCCATTCATTTTCCTGCAATTGACATAATTTCGTTCTTCTTTTTGTTGAGCCTATTTTAAAAAATCTAGTCTCCCTTTCTATAAAATTAGGGCGGGACTCTACCCTCCATACTCTATTAAGATACTAAGGAATTAAAATATGTTCCATTAAAACTATTAAGCATATTCTATAGGCATATGTCAGATATTATATGGTTGTTAACTTCCCTCATAGATAAAAAATAATGAGAACAAAGAATACTTTGGCAACTGTCGGTGGTATGCATCACTTAATAACAGGTTGGTTTTATTTCCCAAATTACTTTCTTTTGCTGTTCTGTTACTACATTATTCAGGCCATTAAAGAAAGATGCTGTATCCTGTGAACAGAATTATGTATGGCCTATTCCATGATGCAAGTAGAATCTATTCCCTGATTGCAACATTATAACCTTCCATTATACCATACACTATAAATCATCCTGTACACAGGAGACAGGGTTGGATCCTCTGGTAATCTGTGAATAGTGACACTGTTTATAACAAGGTTATGCCACTCTGTCCTCAGCATGATGAGGAGAGTTTCCAGAATGCATGGCGCTACACCTCCACTAGACAGTTGGATATAATGACCAACAAAGGACAATCTATTTCTTTTCCAAGGAGCAGTTTCTAAAAGGGAAACAATGAGGAAGATACACAGTAAACAACATAGCTGACTGAGAAGCACAGATAATACCAATCAAACTAATAATTACAATTATAATATCGTGCGTGCATAACACTTTTTGGAAAAAAAAACACAAACAGAAACAAAACCCAGAGCCTTCTCATGTATGATTTTATTTGATCTGCACGGTAACCTCATGGGATAGGCAGGCAAAATATGCATATTGACATTTTACACATACTGCAGTGCTTAGTTGAGTTGCCCAGGCTCACAGAAGTTTTTTGGTTTCCACTGTAATTCTCTGATGATACAAATGCAGACCAAAAAAAAAAAAAAAAAAGATCCACAAATTATGTTGTTATATTAAGTTTTTGTTTCTTAATGTCTCAAATAGAGTTTGAGACTAGGTAAATGTAATGTGAAATGAAAAAAAGAAAATAATAAAATAGTGTCCTTAAAACTGCATGAAACCATATGCTTTACACTTTGAAATACCCAACTAAGATCAGTGTGGGGTATCTACTCAATACTTCTTTTGTAGTTAATTATTAACTTTTGATAACTTTGCTATAACATTTGTGAAAGCATTGTAAGTTGCACTGAAATAAAGAGTACCAATTACTTATTTTTAGTTCCAGTCATCTGGATACCTACTAATCCATCTTCATATGTCCCTCCACATGTCTTATATACCTGCCATTTTTTCACAATACTAATAATACATCCACACATACCTGAATGTGTGTTAAGAGTTTATAACTTGTCAGATGATTTTCTTGGTTCTTTCAGAAAAATTATCTCAGCTCATTTGAGGAAAACTTAGCTTTGCAAACAGAGGACATCTTCAATTAGAGGCTTATTTTAGGAAACAGTAGTTGGAAAACATTAAATGGAAGAAAACTCAAAGAATGAGGACAATATATCTATTATTCTGGGAGTCTCAGAACTAGACAGGGGGTGGGGAGGCAGGTCTTTCCATCAGTCTGAGCTCTTCCATACCTGGCATGGAACAGGTGCTAGGTAATTGCTGGATCATGAATTAGATAGTTGGATAGATGGATGGATAAATAAAGGGTGACACACTTTAGATGTAAACTCCCTATAGAAAAAAACTACATTTTAAATTTCTTTTGTCCTTTTGAACTTCAGAATAGACCCTACAGGCCAGTAATGACAAAAACAATAAAAATTAACCTTCTGTGGGCTGTAGTTGTGGCTCAGTGGTACAGCACTTGTCTAGCACATGTGAGGCACTGGGTTCAATCCTTAGCACCACATAAAAATAAATATATAGAATAAAGGTTTTGTGTCCATCTACAATGAAAAAAAAAATTTAATTGACCTTATTTTTCAGTTTACTTTTTATTCTCCTTCCTGACACTTGACCCACAGGGAAGCACTAAAGAAATGGGAGTATATATTAATTACAGTGCAACTTTATGCATTTTTTCTGAAATAGACAAGGCTGACATTATAATAAATACCCCCCACAAAGATAAAAAAAAATCCTCAAAGTAGTATAGCCAAGATTTAGGTTTAAGTCATCTGAATATGCATGTTACATCTTTCCTTCTAACATTTTTCTGCATGGTCCTAGCAATTAATCGTATATTAGTATATATTATTACAATCATATATTATACAATAACTCCTGATAGATGTTCAATCAATAATGTTTCCCCCAAACACTTAAAAATCTGGAAAAAATACAGTAAAGTTGAAAAATAAAACTTCAGGGTCTGAAAGAGTAAAATTATAAAGATGAAGGGACAAACTGGAGGGTTTGATGTATTTGGCCAGAGAGCCCTAACCAAATCTCCCCTTCAGTCATATACTAAAAAGTACTTTATTGATTAATTGAAGTAATGCATGTGTTTGGAGGAAAGGGAAACAAAATAAAAATGTTGAGTTATCTGTTAATATCACATGCAGCTTTTAATGCAACACTACAGAAATTCCTCTAAAATAATTTCAACAACTTAATTAATTGCAGAGAGGCTTACCAGAACAAAATTATATTTTGTTTGCTTGTTAGAAAATGTATGGTAATTTGAATTTAGTTTTGTGTAGAAAACATGAACTACTCTGAATTTCAGCTATTTGCTGTCTTTTGAATATTGCCTATAATGGTCACTAGTGAAAAGACTTGAAATTATTTTTATTTATTCTTTAGTTTCTTACCTACTTGCCCCCTTCCCTTTATTCCATTTTACTTTACCACAGTCAAGGTCAACCTGACTTCAAACTTGAATTCACATTGTGAAATCTTCAGGCAATATTAAGTGTTGTGTTATTTAATAAATTATATTTATTTAATTGAGATGCTGTCTACACCAAAAAAGGAGAAATATATAAAAATTGGCACTTTAAAAATTCAGTCAATACTATGAGGTACATTTACAGATAATATCCTGGGTTTACACTCATCTCTTTTAACTGTCTCTGTAATGGGTGATGTAAACACAACTAGTGATTTACAAAAATTGCATCACAAATAAATTGAGAAAACCAACCATTCTAGTGGTTCTTTAAATGTAGACTCTGTCAGAATCTGATTCAACATTGTACATGTAGCTTGAAATGGAGTAGTGCCAACTTGAGTTTAAAGTCATGT